TTGTTGTTCTTCTCTCAAACATTACACCCCGACTGCAGTTTCCCCACCCTTCCATTTTTCCCAGGCCCTCCCCACACTTCCCCTCTCCTCCAGAACCACTATTCCTCTAAAAAAAGAGAGAGAGAGATCAGGCCTTCCAGGGATACTAATCAAACACAGAATAGCAAAATCCAGTGATACGAGGCACAAACCTTATGTGAAGGCTAGATGAGGCAACCCAGTAGGAGGAAAAGGGTCCTAAGTTCAGGCAAATGAGCCAGAGACAGCCCCACTCCCACTGTTAGGAGTCCCATAAGAACACCCAGCTACACAACCAAAACATATGCAGAGGGCCTGGAGCAGACCCATGCAGGTTCCACGACTGTCACTTCTGTCCCTGTGTGTCCTACTTAGTCAGTTCTGTGGATATTGTTCTTGTGATGTCCTCTAGCCCTTTCTTAACCGCACCTGAAAGAGAAGGAGTCATTCCACAGGATCCAGAAGTATTCATGGATCTTTTACCACTGAACTCCTTATCAACCTAGTAGAAAAGCTATCCTCTGGATTTCTGGGAAATATAATCAGATGATGGATTCTCGAATAGTGTGACAAATCCATTCTATCATCCTCTTGGCGTTTTGACTCTTACGGGTAGCATAAGAGGGAAACTGATCTCTACTTTGATCACTTCCTTGCCACTAGAGGTAGTTTCAAATGCTGTTCTAGAATATCGTCATAAGCAACAGATTACTGGCTGTAGCAGTTTGAACAAGATGGCCCCATTGTTTCAAATGTTTGAATACTTAGTCACTAGGGAATGGTGCTATTTGAAAGGTTTAGAAGGGTTGGGAGTTGTGGCCTTGTTGGAGGAAGTGTGACACTGGGAAGGGAGCTTGAGCTTTGAGGTTTGAAAAGCCCATGCCAGCCCCAGGTGCCCCTCCCCTGTGTGTGTGTGTGTGTGTGTGTGTGTGTGTGTGTGTGTGTAGCTCTCAGCTACTGCTACAGCACCATGCTCCCCACCATCATGGTAATGACCTAAACCTCAGAACTACCTGCAAACAAATGCTTTATTTTATAAGAGTTGCCTTGGTCATGGTGTCTCTTTACAGTAATATTACAGTTACCAAGGCAGTATCGTTTGTTAATGAGTTATTGCCTATTCAGCGTTACATTTCCTTTCTGGGTAGAATACTCCAAGATATGCCTCCCCATAGATGCTCTCTTCTTCCCTACAAATATCTAGACTATCTCTTGAAAATATACTTGTTCTTGGAGAGGGGACTACAATTTCCTTTTCTGTCCATGTTGCTACTAGCTCTGATTACTATCTTCAAAGCAATAACGGGCAGTTGGGTAGGGTGCTAAAAGGACAAGTGTTATCTTGCAACACACTGCCCTGTAGTTGAAAGTGACAATCGCATCTTTAAAGCTATCATATTATTGGTTTTCATAGCAATCATGACACTGGTAACCAACTGCATTTGAGTTAACCCTTTCTTCTGGAAGAGCCTCTGACATTGTCAAACATGCAGTTTTTATTGCCATTTTTGTTCATTAATATGGTTCCTCTTTGATTTTGCATGTTAGCTCATATTTTATTACCTTATCTAGAGTTGAAAATTATAGTAGCTGTGATCCACTGCATTGTGGAAATCTATAGCATTTCACTAGTTACAAAGGTACCCACTACCTCTAGTCAATGTCAGTTCAAAGTCTCAACCCACAAATATGTCTATTTAATGGGGATACTGTGAAAATGAGTGATGCTATGAAGTTTTCTTATGGTTGTATTGCAGTTTCCTTCTTACAACAGCTTTAGCAAAAGATTAACTCTTGCTGCTTATGATTGTTAATCTTTACTATCAACTTGATTAGATTAAAAACACAACACACTATAGATGTGCCTACAATGTAGACTGGAGATAATTAAGTCATATGGGCACTGGGCTAGTGAGTACTTAACTCCCTTGAGAGTAGCAAGCCATACTTGCACACAGAAGTCTAATTTTTAAGAGGGAGAAGGTGATAGAGAGGTTTATGATGTAATAATTTCATGATCTGGGTAACTACATGCAAGCCTCTATGACAGCTGTATGTTCATGTGCCTGTGTGCCCGTGTGTGTGCCCGAGTGTGTGTGTGCCCGTGTGTGTGCATGTGTGTGTGTGTGTGTGTGTGCAAGTGCAGCTGTCCATGTGAAAACCAGAGGTCATCATTAGGTGTTTTCCCCTATTAGTCTTCACCTTAATTTTAAGAGACAGGGTCTCACACTGAATCTGGAGATCACCAATTGGTTAGAGCAGATGGCCAGCAAACCCACGGGGTTCTTCTCTTTCCACATCCTGCTGCTGGAATTAAAGGTTGGAGCTGCCATAAAAACTTTTACATGAATGTTGGGGATCTGACGTCAATACTTTTACTTGCACTGCAAACGCATTACTCACTGAGCTGTCTCCTAACCCCATTCATATCTTCTTTATGTGACTCCGTGTGGTGCTTACCTATCTACGTACCCAGGCACCTGCAGTGGCCGTGTATTCGTTATCTACCTTTCTTTGTGCACACCTAATTTTGTATATACACATACACACTTACACATAGAGATACACAGTCTTTCTTCTTACAACCTTTCATTTTCAATGTCAAAACTCCTCAGCTTATGGAAAGGGGGAATTAATCAGGAATGCTTCAGCCATCTAAAGGTAACTTTGGCTTTAGAAAAAGCACCAAAATTCTGTTAGTAAAAAGGATTTCTTTAGGATTAGTGTCTATTATTACATATGTTTTTGACATCTACAGATTAACAACCACCTCCTCCCACTATGAAAAGACAGGCTTGCCAAAGAGACACACACCATTCATTCCTTGACAAGCATCTAGCATTGGAAAACACACTGGGGTACATACTAATGTCTGAATTGAAGAAGAGGAGGAGAAAATATTACCATGTAATGATACGAATCACTCAGCTAGCACAATATTTCAAGAACTTGGTTACACACAACACACCAATTATCTCCTTTCATCTTTCACACTATCGCTATGAAAGGTATTATTGTTTTTCCAAATAAAGAAACAGAATCCTTGAGAGTTTGAAAAAAAAAACCAATGATACATGTATGGTCTTTCAATTCACGTCTGAGGGCAGAGTTCCCAATGACTTTACTGTGTACACCCTGGATAAGGACTCACAGTGCTTCTCAGCACACCAGGTATTTTACAGTCACTGTGCTCAGGACCCTCCCAGCTGAACCGCTTTCAGTGATGAGAGTGCTGGAAACCAGCAAGGGCAAGCATCTAATCTAAATACAGAGTTAGTAAGAGGTGGAGAACAGTTCGGTTTCAAGCAGCCTTAGCCCCAGTCCCCAGTTTCCCCATCACATCATGCCACTGCCCATCTTCCAAAGCAAAGTAGCCAGGATGGCATTATGAACCCTGTCCACTGCAGAATTCTAACACAGGCCCATGAGTGATAGTGAGTCAATGCATATTTGATAATGTTCTAAAGAGACCATTCAAGGGTAATGTGCCTCATCTCCATTCCTCAAACCATGTTGATACAGTTTATAGAGAAGAATACTTGTAAAATTTCTCAAGCATTGCTAAATCCAAATATAATGGATATCCATTATACAAAATAATTTGAGTTTTAGTCTATTCACATAGGCTAATGAGATAGCTTTATATGCACCTAATGTATATAGCCTGGGGCATGTTGGTAGGCTACTTCAAATAATTTTGCACCTGGACTAGTTTAATTGCATGGGATCTTCCAGTTACAGCATCATGTCAACCCTCAAACAGCAGTAGACTTTGAAGTATTGGGAATTTTATATTTTCATATTAGGGATGTCCAACCTGTAGCGAAACGTCATGCTTGTCCTAGAATACCAAGTCCAATGATGACAAAGAAATAAGCCAACCATCCAAATATCCACAGGCACAGAAGAAGTCTGGCAGTTCGGTCGTAATTGCTCTACAGAGCATAGGGATGGAGTACTGAATTAAAAAGAAACAAGCCAACCATCCAAATATCTACAGGCACAGAAGAAGCCAGGCAGTTCTGTCTTGATCACTCTACAGAGCTTAGGGGTGGAACACTGAATTAAGGAGCTAGCTGCCCTGGATTGCCAAGGCCTGGAAAGGATGTTATACATCAACAGAAGCAGAAGGGATGATGGATTGTTTGGAACCATCCCTTTGCCATTCTTCCAGAGCCAGAACTAGGAGTGGAGCCTATATAATATCCAGCAGCCAAGCGGGTCTCTCTGCTATAATGCTCCCCGTTCCCAAGACATGGAAGCCAATCAGTCCTCTAGGGTAAGAGACACTTGCTATAGACCTGAAAGGGTCTAATGTTACCTTCCCTGAATGCACACACTGCAGCTAATTTTTAAAAGCTTTTGTTTATTGTAATTTTATGGATATAATGGAAAGTTTAGGGAGCAGGGGTGCCATGGATCACATGTGGAGGCCAGTGGACAACTCTGTGGAGTCTGTTCTCTTCTTCCCCTTTTATGAATTGCAGAGCTCCAACAAAGGTTGACTGTATTACCCATCAAGCACATTAGCCACTAAGTTATCTTCTGGCCCCAGTACAGAATGCCCCCACAACATAGAAGGGATAGTTGGCTATAACTTGAAAGATACGAAGTTGCCTATGCTAATCAGATTTAACATTACAAAGAGCAGTACCATACTGTATAAGCTAGTGAACATGGAAGCTCTATTCAAGGGAACGATGTGTGACTACTAGAAATGATGGGCATAAAGATATTGTAAGCAACAATGGAAGATATTTTATTATCATGCTAAGTGAAAAAGAAGGCTTCAGTATTACAAACAAAATATGACCCAGAGTGTATATATAAATAGGGATATAAATCCTTCCACTCACCCCTCCCCACTACTATTGTAACTTTAAATAAAGGACCCCAACAAACCCAGCATTGAAGCAACAAGTATGACTTGAACACAAAACTCTACTTAGATGAACCATAATCTTCTTTTCCAATGAGGTTTATTTTGTTATGTTTTAAAATTAACAGGTGTGGGGAGTGATGTACACACATGTGTTTATAGATACCTACTGAGGAAAAAGACATCAGAATACCCTGTATGCTTTAGTTATCAAAGGTTGTGAGCCACCCAACAGGGATACTTGGAGCAGTGTGCGCTGTTAATCCCCGAGGCATCTCTCCAGTCCCAACTAGAATCTTCTTCAAGGGAACAAAAGCAAGAGGATGTCTGGTTATACTTGAAACATTCCTGTGAAATAGAGATGGGTGTTCTCTTACTCTGGTTTTGCAATATTTTAATCTATTTAGGATTATTTAAACCCACTCTCCTGCTCAATTTAAAGAACTGTTCTTTAATTAAGTCAATTAAAATTGCCTAGTTTAATTGGATTCTGAATTCTCAGCGTGGCAAGGAGCCAGTAGCTGTTCTTGTTGTCAAGATATAAAGAGAAAGATTTTGTCATGGAAACTATATTTTTTAAACTGTATTTCTTCATGTTTACATGAGAAATTGAAATCATTGGCTACTGTGCAGATAGACTTCAATCTCTCAATCAGAAAGAGGTCACCTAAAATCTCAGATACTTTAAAACAGACTATGAGTTTAAAAAAACAATTTCATATAAAGGACAGAGCCTGTTGGAAATAGAAAAGTCTGGATGAGAATTTGCACACCCATTCAGTCCCTATTTGATAAGACAGTAGAAACTGCCCAATTCATGCCTTCTTATCTACCCTGCCTATGGTGGAGCATGGAAAACCAAACTGTGTCTCTCCTGAAACACAGCACCGACACTTACCAGGATCAAATATCAATTATCTTCCATTAAAAAATGAAAATCAGTAAGCTGTTTTAAGGAATCTATCATTTTAACCAACACTTCGGTATCATTTCCATTTGATGAATATTGTGCCGGACACGACTGTTTGATAGTGAAATGAATTAGCAGTCATGAGTTTTAAAGGTGAGACACAAACAAATACAGCATTGAAATTGAAATTGAAACAACTGAAATGGGAAGAAAAGGGAACACCGTTATTTAGTTTCCACGGATTCTGAGATGATCATAGAGAAGCATCGATGCAGGGATGGCCCTCAGGCCCCAGGAGGACTGTGGCCGTCAACGGTAGAACCGCAGAAGATCCCTGCTTGACAATGGGCAGAGGAATCCGAAGGAAGAACTCTGACTCCAGTCCATCACCCCAGGAAGGAGAGAGCCCTAGAATGTGAGGTTTGGAAGGGATTCGAGGTTCCGTCGCTAGTGTTTTGATTAGACTCTGAAAGCCAAACAGTGAGCGTGGGCTGAGTGGCAGCACCAAGTTTTCACATGGTCTCTGTTGCTAAGGACCTTACAGCAGGAAAAGGAACACTTGCCGGAGGCAAGAGATCCGCCCTGCGGTGCTCACTGCTTAGTAGTCAACCTATTCCGCATAAACATGTTGGACTAAGAAGAGAGAGTTCCAAGTTGGGGGAGATGATGGTGCTTTCAAATCTCAGGAGAGAGGCTGAGGTAGGGGAAGAGCTGAATGGAGAGAAATAGTGTGTAGATCTGCAGAGGGCCTCCCGGGCTCGGGTGAGCATATGCAGTGAGGGAATAAGCAGGAACCTGGAGAAAGTCAGCTGGGAGAAAGGATAGGGACAGTGCCCACTGCTCAACCCAGGGTTGGGAACAGGGCACAGAACCTCCAGTCAGGCTGTGGAACGTTATTGGTTCCAGTGTGTTGGATAGAATCCACAGAAGGTTGTGGCCTCCTTAGTGAGTAATAATGAGCGTTAGACTAACAACTGCTCCAATCCCTCTCAAGAGGTCTCAGTGCAAGAAACTATTTTCTTACCAAAAAAAGGAAAAGAAATTATATCCAATGTGTGCAACTTCCAAAAAATTAAAATTAAAAGGAGAGCTGGAGAGTATTTCTAGGAACAAAGTGATAACATTGTATTCACTAAGTAAACTCCAGAATGCATGGAATACAGAGAAATATCAAGAATATGCAGGAAAACAGGAAATTCAACACATAAGGAAAAGTAACATTCCCCAATATCAATGGACCTTACTATATTCGGGTGTAGCAATTGATACCAAAGATATTGAGAGCTGTTATTAACTACATTCCCTATAGTCTGACATAAAGATATTTCATAGAAATAAGGAAGATGTTTCTAAATACCAGACTGATGTCACAAAGACTAACGCATCCAAAAGTGACAAGGAAAATAGATGTGAAAAAAGCAATGATGTGTTTGTCATTGTCAAAGGGAACCTGCTTGTGATGGCAGACACTAGATGGCTCAGTAGGCAACAAAATTTGTTCTACAAGTAGGAGGACCTGAGTTCAAATCCCAGAAATACGTGTGAAAAGATTAGGATGGCTGTAACTCCATTCTCTCTCTCTCTGTCTCTCTCTCTGTCTCTCTCTCTGTCTCTCTCTCTCTGCCTCTCTCTCTGTCTCTCTGTCTCTCTGTCTCTCTCTATGTCTCTCTCTGTCTCTCTCTCTGCCTCTCTGTCTCTCTGTCTCTCTGTCTCTCTCTGTCTCTCTGTCTCTCTCTCTGTCTCTCTCTCTGTCTCTCTCTCTCTCTCTCTGTGTGTGTGTGCGTGTGTCTGTGTCTCTGTGTACCCAAAAAGACTAAGAAGAAAGTACCAGTATTCATGTCTAACTTCATACACATTTGAGTCCCTAAATAATTTGGAAATAAAAGAAAACCTTGAAGATACAACAGTTGAAGTTTTCCCTAATATGATGAAAAGTATAAACCCACAGATCTGAGGACCTCGATGGTCCCTAATAATAGAAACAAGAGAAGAAAAGGAGCAGCTATGACTCAGGAAGACTTTGAGGATGTTTTCCATGAGTTTCTCCACTGTCTTAGCAGATTCTGTGACTGAAGTCTGGAAGCTATGGTAATTACATGAGCAGTCTTAATGGAGATACTAGCTCCATCTTTAAAGAACTTTCTCCATCAGACTGTGTCTGTGATTCTGTCTCTATGTAATACAGAGCTGCCAGAAACGGGGTCCCCTGACACTTCAGAAAAGGCTGTACTTTTTCTTTAAGAAGACAGAAGCAATGCTTCTTGCCCATCCCTTGCTAATCTCAGACTGAATACTACACTCCCCCTCCAGATTCATGTGACTCCTCAGTACCTTTTAGATTTCCAGCACTTGCTAGAGTGTCCTTCTAAGGCAAACCCATTAGCAAGTGAGTCCTTCTAAGGCGTCCCCATCAGCAGGTGAGTGAGTCCTTCTAAGGCGTCCCCATTAGCTCCACCAGTACTTTTGAGAAAAAAAATATGTAATGGTTCAGCTGCAAAAAAATGCCAGTGAAACCCAATTATTTTTTTTAATTTTTTCTCTTTTTTATTAATTTTTTAAATTTGATTTTACATTCCAAACAAAGTACCCCCTCCCACCCAGCCTCCCTCACTTCCCCCAGCCCAGCCTTAATCCATTCCTCCTAATAGGTAAAGTCTGGCACATTAAATTGGGGAAGGACAAAGTCCCTCCCTCCCGAATTAAGACTGAGCATGGCATCCCCTCGTAGGGCTCTAACAAGCTATCTCTTGCACCTGGTCATACTGTCAGATAACCCAAGCTTTACAACTGTCTCCCACATATGGAGAGCCCAGTTCCTGCCTCTCTCTGGCTGGATTCCTGGAGCTCAGCCTGGTTCTTGGTTGTGGATCTCTGGATCTGGCCTCATTAATTACTGGATGAAGGCGCTATGATGATAGGGGAGTTACCAATCTGGTTACAGGAAAATGCCAGTTCAGACACCCTCGCCACTAACACTAGGAGTCTTAGCTGAGGTCAACCTTGCATATTCTTGGGAATTTCCCTGGCACCAGGTTCCTCCCTAAGCCCATAGTGGCTCGCTCTATTAAGATATTTCAGTGCTCTCCCTCTCCATTCCTTCCCCCTTGACCATTCTGTTCCCTTATGTTCTCATCTGCCACTCCCTCCCTCTTATTTTTATATTAATTACAGCATTTCTCCCTTCCCCTTCCTTCCTCCAAACCTCCACATATACCACCTCTCTGCTGTCATTCAAATCAACGACCCCCTTTTTAATTCATTGTTAAGTGTCTCAGTGGATCCATCTAACAAACATCTAAGGTTCAGGGCACAGAAGTGGAAACAGAAAGATGGTAAAAGCCACAAGATCAGGGAGTTTACTATGAGATTGTGTCTCCTGGTAACATCAGAAGCTACATCCATACAATCTAATAAGACTGCCCAAACATGATCTGAGCAAGGATGGGACCGAGAGATAAGTCAAACTATGTGTGGATAAAGCCATGAGGCCTCAACCCTACATGAAGAACTGAAGACGGCTGAGTAAAGCTGACAATGGGAGAGGTGATCCACAAGGGAGGGGACACCAATCACCCTATCTTGATATTCTTTGGTCCTGACTGCTTATTTGATTGTATGTACATATGTATGCATGTATGTGTTCATCCGTGTGTGTGCATGTATACATGCATGTATGCGTGTATGTGCACATGTATATGAAATAGAGCAAATGATGAAGAAAGCAGAGTTCTGGTTTAATAATGACTTTTGGGAGGGAGAGTTCTGCTAGAATGCTAGCCATTGAGGCCCATTGTTTCCTCTCTGGTATTCTCCAGGATACTGCTGAAGAATGCTAAATGCCATGGAACAGAATTTGAAAGCCATTAGATGAAATGCTAGATTTGTCTGTACCTGAAGTGATGAGCCTGTTTTCTCTTTAATGGTGTCTTAGATCCTCATCGCTTTTGAAAACTATAATAAAAATCATGTATGTCATCTTTGATGTCAGCTCATGAGCACACCATGACAAAATGAGCCTTGACAGGGTTCTGTCCTGGTCTATGCCCTTCCCAAGCTGCTGAGATTTTTGGCTAAGCCACAAAAGCCTTATCTATCCAACTGCAACCTCAGTGTCTTGGATGAGAAGCTCTGTGAGGTCTCTTGTAGATGCCTCGTTCTGTAACTACTCTTCTCTGACCTAAGCTTCTTTCCCTGTCTACCAACAGCTCATCAGAAAGGACAGCTTTGTGAAATAAATTTGTCATAATGAGCTGGTGGGAAGCACGTGCCCTCACAGCCAGACACATTTGAGTGTGTTTGCAAATAGACAAATTTCACATTCCTCTTTTTTGAGGTCCCGTTTGTCTTTTGGCATTTTGATGAGTAAACTAATTCCAAACCAATTTGCAACAGGCAAAGTATGTTATTATGAAATATTTGTTTTCTGAAACTATTGTAGTCATGAAGTCTTTCTTTCAATCTTTTCCTGTCCTTCACTTTTTTAAGCCTGTTGTTTCTAAATAATCACAAGAAAGCTGCATGTTGAGGATAACATAGATTTGAAACACAAAGACATGAACATTGACCTCCATACAGCAAGTAAGATGAAAAGGAAGGCGGGCCCATGGCTAGAAAGATAACGACCAGCAGAACCCAAAATTTCCCTTTTTATTCCCCATCATCAAACTCTCAAGCCAAAAATAGCCACCGAGCCAGCTCCAGATGGAGAAAGAATGGTCCGTTTGCCATCTGCTGAGACAGAACAGCACATAGAAACTGTGATTTAAAGTCATCAGAAATAGAATTAAATAACGTATGTCAGAATTAAGGATTTGCTACACACTCTTTGCTGGAAGCATGGGGTGCCTCTGTGTGGGTGTAAGTCATTCAGGTCCTAAGCTTTAAGTCCTTTGACAACCAGGAAGTAAATGTGGGGTTCTCTTGGAGACAGGGGATAGAAGACTTTAAGTGGCAATCATCACCTAGTGAGTAGGGACTGGAGGGGAATTGGTGCTTGCACAAAAGCACTGGGTGATTTTTTTTCAAGCTAAACACAGACCTTTTATACTGAAGCTTTCAAGAATCCATTCAGAGGATGCTCATGCTGCATTGTACCAGAGGATGAGAACCAGTTCAGAAATCCAGATGAGGAAAACACCACTGAAGAGTTGTTCTTGTGAGTCTGCAATCAAGCCCATCCCCCTGGGGGCTGGGTAGAGAGGCACAGGGTACTGGTACATTGCGTGGCTATCCTCTCATTCTGGTGGACTGTATGCTCAGGAAGTCACAGGGGCTTTGCCATTGGAAACATCTAACTTCCTATTTCTTGGGCCTGTTTTCATTGGCGGGGCTGCCAGGGGCAAGCTTCTC